AGTAAGATCTTGTTAGTCCTTAGCTCGCACAAGTTTAGACTTCTGAGGGTTGTCGTTCGTAGGGGTGCGACGGCTGGTTAACGAAAGAACCATATTTTGAACATATATAACAACATATTATTAGCCTTCCAACTCATATATCCTTACAATTTGTTACTTTTTCATGAATATTTCATAGTTTTCGAATAATAGAATTGGATTCAACTATTTTTCAGGAAACACTTGAAGTCAAATGTTCAAGAATCGGTTCACAATAATAAAAAGGTGGAATTCGTCATAAACTCATAAATTTGTTCTGGGAAAACAAGCAGTAACAGTATTTGTTTAATCACTTAATCACTTTGATAATTTGTGAATAATCTGCGGTTTTTTCCAAAAACAGATAATTATTTATCCATTAGACGAGCTTTCCGCTACTTTCCGCTTTTCTTAGGAAGTATTCGATGCAATTTCTGACGGATTGTTCGATTGATACACATATTACACATTATTCTGATTTTTTGAGTAAGTAAATCTAAAAGAATATTATGAAATGAAAGATGTTTTTGACTGTTTGTGGTGGATAAGCTTAAACATTTTTAACCGCTTCAATAGATTAGTTCACTTTCATCAGCAAGCAACAACGTTGCAACAGAAATTGCAATATAAACCAGAGTATCAAAAAACTGTCTATAAAAGTTAATTTTTTGGCTTTTGCAATGGATGATTATTAAAAATGAGAAGAAAGCGTTATTTATCCATTAGACGAACTTTTCGCTATTGTTCTTTTCTGCTTTTTTTAGAACGTATTCGATGCAATTTCTCACGGATTGTTTGATTGATACCCATATTTCACATTATTTTGATTTTCTAAGTAAGTTTATTCAAACAAATATTATGAAATGGAAGATGTGTTTGACTGTTTTTGATAGATAAGCTTAAACATTTTTTAACCACTTAAAAAGATTATTTCACTTTCATCAGTAAACAACATTGGCTGTATTTCATATTCAAAAAAATCAACAACGTTGCAACAGAAATGGCTATGTTAACCAGAGTATCCAAAAACTGTTTAAAAAGTTAATTTTTTGGCTTTTGCTCTGGATGATTATTAAAAATGAGAAGAAAGCGTCATTTATCCATTAGACGAACTTTCCGCTATTGTTCTTTTCTGCTTTTTTTAGAACGTATTCGATGCAATTTCTCACGGATTGTTCGATTGATACACATATTACACATTATTCTGATTTTTTAAGTAAGTAATTCTAAACGGATTTTATTACATGATAGATGTGTTTGGCTGTTTTTGGTGGATAAGCTTAAACATCTTTTAACCGTTTCAAAAGATTATTTCAATTTCATCAGCAAGCAACATGGGCTGTATTTCATATTGAAAAAATCAATAATGAGAAGAAAGCGTTCTGTTCAGTTAAGAGTGGCAGTTTAAATTCGGTTATAGCAAAACCACAGAGTTCACAAAATTATTTTTTGATTTTTTTTCAACTGGATTTTCCCTTGCATGTCAATTAGAGACAGACGGGGGTGTTAGGAATCACACGTTAAAAGGTAAGACCTCGTTAGTCCTTAGCTCGCACAAATTTCTCAACTTCTGAGAGTGGTCGTTCGTATGGGATATCGATATGCAGAAGCTATCTTGTTACGGGGGGCAAATTTTATGGAATCATCTTACTTTTCAATTATTTGCATAGACAATAAAAATGAATCCGGTAAGAATTTAGTTCTAACATTTGACATTGTTGCCGTTAGCTCTCAGTTCAATTTGTATATGAGTTACCTTCAATTGAGAATTGTTATACTATATCAAAACACCTGTTGTTGTACACTGCCCAGTGATAATGAAGGATCGCCCGATTCCATCCCATATATCTGCCATAAATTTTCTGAATTTTTTGAGAAAACACTCTATACATCAAAGGACGATGCAAATTTCGAAAGATCCCTTGTCAATTATCTCTTTTCTGGGTATCTCATATATAAAACAATGTCGCAAAAATGTGTTTGTTATACCATTTATAAAACTCTAGAACGGCTGGGACAATTTTTCTTATTTTGGATTTGCCGGGGTAGCAAAATTCCTATCAAAACTATTGAAAAGCTGAGGAAAAAAAATTACGAATCAAAAACAAATTGACGACTATCCGTTTGCTAGGTTATGACAATTGTCACGGTTTGCGCCGCAAAGACAATTGAGGTTATGACATATGTAATTGGGCAAGCATGAACAATTGTTATGTCATAATAATGACAAAGCGATATACATCGAAGTCGTAATGCAATTAGACTGCAATTAGACTTAGGAATCGGGTCATTGTAGATGAAAAACGAATCGCACAAGAGAGGAGCTGTATTCACTATCACAAGGTCTACTGGTTTTGCAGAATTTATCTTCATCCATCTTCTCGACTACTGAATTTAAATCTAATGATCACTATCACTAGCGTAAATTACAATATATGTATATATAAGATATATCTTCTGCTGTTTTTGCTGTTAGTGAAACACTTCGTGCTACTCACAACAAAAAAGTTACTATAACTCACTTAATACTCAGGTTAGGTTAGGCTATTTCATCATTTTCCAAACAGAAGCGACATACATTTTCTTTCGACAGTTCAAGTCTCTGCATATGATGATTCAGAAGACAGTGACCTGTGAGAAGGCCTCTTAGATATCTTAGTTCATCCCTACTGTAGTCCAACAATTGTTTCGATCCAAGCTTCGAAGGGTGAATGAACGCCTTGCAGTGAGCCAATCCTGAAAGATTATGTCAGAAGTCCATAAATCTTCTTGCCATCCAGGTGTTCAATGTTCGTTTGGCAAAGCCTTAAGCGATGTCAATTACAGATTCTAGTCCGATGAAGCTGCTTACAGCACCCTCCTTCGCAAGGGAGTCAGCAGCCGCATTGCCTTTCAGGCCAGTATGGCCAGAAATCCAGACCAGAGGCAATTTGTTAAATCTTCCTATTGAGGAGAGTCGCTTTTGGCAATTTGCAACCAATTTAGACGTTGCTCAGTAGCAGATAAGAGCTTCCAACGACGCTTGACTGTCCGAGAATATTTTTATTGACTTGTGTATGAGGTTGTATTCTACCAATCTCTACGTACACGATTCAAAATGATCACTATAAATAGCGTAAATTACAATATATGTATATATATCTTCTGCTGTTTTTGCTGTTAGTGAAACTCTTCGTGCTACTCACAACAAACAAGTTACTATAACTCACTTAATACTCAGGTTAGATTAGGCTATTTCATCATTTTCCAAACAGAAGCGACATACATTTTCTTTCAACAATTCAAGTATCTGCATATGATGATTCAGAAGACAGTGACCTGTGAGAAGGTCTGTTAGATATCTTAGTTCATCCCTACTCTAGTCCAACAATTGTTTGGGTTCAAGCTTCGAAGGGTGAATGAACGCCTTGGAGTGAGCCAATCCTGGAAAATTTTGACAGAAATCCATAATTCTTCTTGCCATCCAGGTGTTCAATATTCGTTTGGCAAAGCCTAAAGCAATGTCAATTACAGGTTTTAGTCCGATGAAGCTGCTTACAACACCCTCCTTTGTTAAATCTTTCTATTGAGGAGAGTCGCTTTTGGCAATTTGCAACCAATTTAGACGTTGCTCAGTAGGAGATAAGAGCTTCCAACGACGCTTGACTGTCCGAGAATATTTTTATTGACTTGTGTATGAGGTTGTATTCTACCAATCTCTACGTACACGATTCAATAGCATATGTTTTCGCTTGGTATACAGTCGCATAGGGTTGAAAAAATTTGACTCTCGTTTTTTCAAAAATGAGTTTGGATACATAAATGTATTCTAAAAAGAACATAGCCTTTCAATATTCAACTTTTTTTCAACCTTGCTTCAGATCTTGAAAAACATTTGTTTTATCCTCAGCACGCACACCTTTTAAAGTATTGAACTATTATGTAAATGCTAATTCCACTAATTTTTAGAACATGCACATAATAATGGGCAAAACATTTGTAAATAAGTGTACATTTTTGGGATCGGCTACAATATACGGTAGGTATGCTCCATTCGGTAGCTCACTAAATAACCTCCAAAACTACATCAACAGGTATTGAATCCACTGGATGCCATCTGTCACAAACCTAGAAGGGATGCCATTTGTGTAAATCAGCTGAGAAATGCTCGCAAAGTCGACCAAGCTATTTTGCAAGAGAGACCAGATGTCAAAATATTCTTGCCTTTCCGATTTTTGTTTTATAAGCCGGAAGAATTGTTTCATCCTAACACATATAATCCATTTTTGGGTAAGTACCGAGAATAGATGATCGCTTTTTTGAGAAATGGTGCCCTTNAAGTGAATTCACAAGGCACCCGCAAACTTCTTTTAATCGGCGGTCATTCAAGTTCAATATAGTCTGCGAGGGTCCCGCATTTTGAAAGGTGAATTGAAAGGTGTATTTTGTAATTTTGGACAGGTAGGAAAAGAAATAAAAAAAGAAACTAAGAGAGAGAAACATAACATTCGTTCTTAACCAAGACGATATAGCTGTTGCTATATTTTGTTTGACAAACAATTTTAATTTAAACGAAAATATATGCTCCTTAGATTTAAAATGCCTTACTATAGAACGAGGTAAATTTTTCAAATCGGAGTATACTATTTTAGACCACGTTTGGTATTCGGTTTGTACGGAAAATAAAACACAGGGCCAACACAAAAGTTTTTCTCGTTTAATGGAGCCGGTTAACCAATCGCATTTATGGTACCAACTAATATTAAATCCTCGATTTTGTCGATTATCTGACGTTTTAATTGAAATCAAATTTGGTTGAGGCCTTTCCAGTGTTTTAATAATGTGAAATTTATTATCATAAAACAAAGACTTAAAATTATTTGTCAGCAACCAATTGACTATATCGTCATATTTTTTTATTTCGTCCAACTTATCCATAATAAATGGAAAAAAACTTACCGAAAAGTGAAAACCTGAAAACACCTTGAAACTGAAAGAAAACACTTCACAAACACATTACAAATATTACCAAAAAGCACTGCTATAACACAATACTGCCTGTTTTATACACAAATAACAAATATTATCAATAAACACTAAAACGATTTACCGAAAAATTTTTTAGTCCCTCCTCTAACGCTATAATTTCTGCAACTAAAATTACAAATCGGCACATATGTCGCTGGTTGAATCGGTCTCGCGGACCTTGTGTTTTTTGAAACGGTCGGAGGCTTGGCTTCCTTGCAACGTATGGCATTCATTATTTTGGGTTGTTGGTTTATTCGATATTCGTTCATGGGCGATGCGTTAGAGGTTTGTTGATGCAGGATACACTGTGGTACGTACTACATAGTAAGTTATAGTGTTTATGAATACATATTATGTATTTATATTGAAAATTAATGGTAAAGTAATGATACCCAAGCATTTTTAGAACAAAATAATCATAATTATTTCTCAATATCTTTTAATTTATTGCGATGAGCAGCGTCGAATTTTATGGGGAGGCTAAGCTTCCCTTGCCTCCTCTGACGAGCCGCCGCTGGTGGAAAGCTGACACAATATGAAATGCCATACGTATTGATCGCAGAATTGATAAAAAAATTCAAAATGGTATATTCCCACCACATTGAAAACATATTGAAAAGTAATAACGTACCCGTGTGGTTTTCTATCTGGAAAAGAGTAGAGGAGCACTCAGAGAAAAGAAGAAATGTGTTCCATCTCTATTTTACAAACTTTCAAAAACGAAAAATATATTATCATTTTGTTGAAGATGGGAAAGTTACTCAGTTCATATTTCTATATGTGTTACAGTCTGAATCGGAAATGGCCGTTTGGCCGTCATGGAGAAAATTGACTGATTTCAAGGTTGATTGAAAAATAATCGCCGATTAAAACAAGAAAAGAATATTACCATGAAATCAGTTCAATACTTCGATCAAAGGATGGAATTCACAAACTACAACTCTACAGAAGTTATTCCAGTAAAGTCAGTCTCAGAAGAGCAAGACATTCGAAAGATATTTATTGAAAGTTGGGATTTTTTTTCAAATGAAACAATTTGTAGATAGATCGATTAATTAACACATCGCAAGACGTAGCGTAACACAAGCATTAACGCAAAAAGGCAGATGTTCATTTCGTAGATCACGCACCGTAACATTAAACCAAAACAAGAAAACTGTCAAGATTGGTTCAATTCTACACATGTTGATGATAATACAGCAAATGTCAAATCAAAAAGCAGTGATTGAAAACTAAGTAATCTATGCGTGAAGTCAAAAACTGTCATAGTATTTGTAAGTCAGGTTAGGTTAGGTTCAAAGTGAGTGGGTCTATTCGCCCTCCACCGCAACCCGCAAGTATTTATTGTGGCTCACACCTATTCACACTCGATGGTGAGTGGTCTTTCAAGTCAGATAGTTAGACTACGGCTCTGTGGAACTTTAAAAACCTGATTCGGTCCCCAACGGGGCAAGCACAAAGAATGTGCTCTTCTGTTTCATTATTTTCCAAACAGAGGCGACACACACTGTACTCCGACACTCTGAGTCTCTGCATATGATAATTCAAATACAGTAACCTGTAAGAAGGCCTGTAATCCAACTACTGTTTGGTATTAAGCTTCGAAGGGTGAATAAATCTTCTTGCCATCCAGGTGTTCAATCTTTAATTGGCAAAGCCTAAAGCGATACCAATGACAGGTTCTGGTCCGATAAAGCTGCTTGCAGCACCCTCCTTTGCAAGGTAGTCAGCAGCCGCATTGCCTTCCAGGCCAGTATGGCCAGGAATCCAGACCAGCGACAAATTGTTAAGTTTTTTTTATCGAGGAGAGTCGTTTTTGTCAATTTGCTACCAATTTAGACGTTGCTCGGTAGGAGCCAAGAACTTCCAACGCAGCTTAACTGTCCGAGGATGACGTTGTGTGTACGTTGTGTTGTTGTATGACGTTGGATTCTTCCAATCTCTCGCCACACAATTAGGTGTTAGGAATCACACATTAAAAAGTAAGACCTCGTTAATCCTTAGCTCGCACAAGTTTCGTCTTCTGAGGGTTGTCGTTCGTAGGGGTGCAACAGCTGGTTAACGGAAAAACAGATTTTAAACAGATTTTTTTTAAACAATTCAATAGTGTAAATTTTCGCCTAAAATACAGTCGCATAGGTTCCTATGCAGGTTGATATCTCTGTCCTGGGTCTGTGACTGAAAACACCTGTACCAGAACTGGAAGGTGTTTTGTAACAATCGTATGTGTCAATCGTTGGAAATAGGAATTACATACTCTGCTTGGTTGTCCTTGGGAAATAATTTGCGAGATATGCAAAAATATAGGTCACTTATAAAAATTTGTTGAATTACAAATAATAGCCTTCAGAGCAATTTCTCCACAAAAAGTTTCAGAACTCAAACTCAATTACAAACTCCACAATTACTTGACAAATCAAAATCATCTTTCAATTTTCACAACATATGTCTACCAGAATCTTCAATAAAAATGAAGAAAATAGAAATACAGTATAAATCTTAGTGAGATTGATATAATATCAAAATGTATCTGACTAATTAATTTTTCATTAGAAATATCAAATTTCAATAATTGTAAATCCACCTGAAATTTTTCTTTCACATTAAGTAAATATTGTTGAAATATCTAGAGGGAGAGCCACCGGAAAAACATTCATTAGTGGAGCTTCATAGCAAAATAGTGTTTTTTAATATCTAAAATGAAGGGTATTTTATGGATCAACCAAATAGTTCCATTATGTTCATCAATATTCTCAATTTCCAGCTGCTGTTGGTGGTGACCACGTTATAAGTCTCATAGACGAGATATCCTTTCAGTCTCCCCCGGCCCCGCCACTGTCTCAATTAGACGACCTTGACCAAGATCTATTCTGTAATGGAGACAACAGGCCAGAACACTGTGGTCAAAATTGTATGTGTACCCATATGGTCGACATACCTTTAAATGCCATCGTTGAAGTAGTACTAGTAGATGAGGGTATGTATCGGCACTAGTAGAGTTTTCCAATTTGATATTGAAAATATCGTATTTTAATATTCATCGTCCAACAGTTCAATCGCCAAATCTCAGCCATCCTTTCCATCTTCATGGATATGTATTCAACGTTGTCGGAATCGGACGATCTCCAGATAAGAATGTGAAAAAAATCAACTTGAAACATGCTCTTGACTTGGACAGGAGAGGCCTCCTACACAGGCATTTCAACTTACCGCCTCTCAAAGATACAATTGCTGTGCCAAACAATGGATATGTTATATTTAGGTTTAGAGCGGATAACCCAGGTAAGTAACAAAATTCACACAAATTTATTTGTATCCATATCACAATTTTTGGACATAGGTGTGTCCAAACTCTTAGGAAAAAATCGGTTTTGATTGAGGTATTCATTATTAGCATTCTTTTTTTTTATTGCTTCGGAACCGGAGACTTCAAAGCAACCGTTATGTTTTTCCTCCCATATTTTCCATGGCACCCATCACCCTGTAGGAGTTTATATACGGCTTTTGTTGGATATTCGTTATATTATCTTGGACATAATTTGGCGTGTCCATAGGTTGCTTGGTGTGGTTCAATGCCTCACGTTTACATGAAATAAGGCGAATAGTCACTGTTCCTTTTGTACATTGCTGACAGCGAGAGAGATGCTTCAGATATCAGTGAATATCCCATTCACAGACCACCTCTACACTGTTGGATCAGTTCTTCAGACGGTTCCTTCATAAAGTTTTTCGTGTGTGCCTTTTCAGATATCTGTATCTGTATCTGTAGGGTGGATGTGTGTAGGCCCACAGAACTTAGGCCACATGTGACCCATTGTACATCCTCCCGAAGACTTGTCCTTCTAGCTCATTCATCGTCCATCCTGTCCTTTCCAAAAAGGTGGACAGGTCACTGAGAGACATCTCCTTCATATCGGCAGGTGTAGGCCAAGACTCGTCGAACACACACTCTCTTATTCACGATAACTCCGGACACTCGCATAGGACATGCCTGACAGTTTCATCTTCCTGTTCACATATCCTGCATAGAGGTGTGTCCACTAGCCCCATGTTATGGAGGTGTTTCCTAAGTTGACAGTGGCTAGTCAGAAATCCTACTGTTAAGCGTATTTTTTTTGGTCATCGCCAGATATTTCTTCGACGCCAGCTTCCCAGGGTCGCCCAGGGTGATCCTGACAAGACTGCATCCTTTGATTCCATCCCATCTCTTATGGTATTGAGCATGGGTGTAACACTTGACTAGTCTCGCAATTGTCGAAGTCATCAGGCCATAGTTGCCACTGGATCCTAAAATTCTTAGTCCAGCCGCTTCCTTGGCTGAAGCGTCGACAATGCGATTACCTTCACTCCTGTCATGCCCTTCAACCCACCTCAGGATAGTGTTATTATCTACCGAGGCTTTGGCTAAATCTTGGTGGTACTCTAGTACTAGCCCCGAGGTAACACGTTGTCTGTTCAAGGCTAATAGGGCTTGTCTGCTATCAGTGCAGATTGTTATGTTTTTACCAGAAATTATTTTCCTGGTTATTTCTTTTGTGGCGATTGATATACCAGCTAGTTCTGTTTGGACCACGCTGGTATTTTTCCCATTATCCACTTAATCCTTAGGCTTAGTGATCTGGAACACTTCACATCCTTAGCCTTCTTTGGTTTTCGAGCCGTCTGTATATATGTGTATGGCATTTGTAGCATCTGACTCTGTGTTCTGTTTTATTTGTACTTTGTAGGGTTTATTAAACACAAACCTGGGTACAATTGCATCACTGGTTGCCTACAGCAGAGGTTGCGCAGTAAACGTATCCATCACAATGATCTTGTTCCCTGTGAGAGTTTATATATACAGCTTTTGTTTGATATTCATTATATCATCTTGGACATAATTTGACGTGTGTGTCCATAAGTTGCTTGCTGAGGTTCAAAGCCTCAATTTACATAATATATGGCAACTGTCACTGTTCCTTTCGTACATTGCTGACAGCCAGAGACATGCCTCACCTCTATACTGTTGAAGCAGTTCTTCAGACGGTCCCTTCATAAAGGTTTTCGTGTGTGCCTTTTCAGATATATTTTTGCGGTTCTATTTATGTTTATCATCAACTCGTTACCAAATATGTCCTGAAATGGTTCCGAATCAAATAATTTCATACCATCACAGCTGATTCAGGGCTTGTATATGGAGATATTGATCCATATCTAGCAAACTCATTAGATTTTTTGTTTATTCTGATTTCTGAGTGAGCTGTCACCGAGTGTAGAGTTAATTTATTTCGATCAATCAGTTCCTTCAGTTCTTCACGGCACCCCCAGACGTTTCAGTGGTACTCTTGGGATCATCAATGCACCGAGTGCAATTTGGCTGATTTGATCAAATATTCCTGATGCATTGCAAGAATGCATACACTCTCCAATGGAAGACAGGAAAGTAGTGATTAAGGCACAGTACTTCTGCTTGGGGAGAACTGTAACATTCTGTTTAAAAATCTGTTTTTCCGTTAATCAGCTGTCGCCCCCATACGAACGACAACTTTCAGAAGTTGAGAAACTTGTACGAGCTAAGGACTAACGAGGTCTTACCTTTTAACGTGTGATTCCTAACACGGTTCCAGAATCATGCCAGCTTCAACCAGATACATTCTCTCGAGATAAATATCTGGTCAAGGCAGGAATCGAACCCACGGTTTTCCGATCGTGAGTCGGGCGCACTACCACCGCGGCCAATTCCACAATTCCACACATGAACCGTAAAGTTTGTTGGAGGTCAGTTCCTCTAAATATTTCAAAACTTTTCTGTCTTGATTTTGAGCAATTCATTCTTCAATAAATGAACCCTGATTCCATTCAGTTCAACTCGGCTTTCTTCCACGTTAGTCTTGATTGATCAGGTTAGTCCAATAGAAATTATGCCCAGGATTTGGATAATGAAGAGACATTAGATAAGGGTTCGTGTGGAATAAACTTCCTAAGAATGTTTTTTCATATGCATTCAATCCTATGTGAATCGCTACTTTCGCACAGGCACCGCTCTGAGTGCGCCGTATGGATTTTCCTGTAGTGCTTGTGTTTTGTCCTTAAAAAAAAGATACACCGAGGGGGGCTGTCAGGCCGGTACCGCCCGAGATTCAAAAAATGTTTATATGCTCTTGTTATTTGAAGTAACCTATCCCTATTTGATTTATGAAAAAATTTTCGTGTACAACACTTCTCAAGTTCAAAAAAAATGTTTGTCTTTATACTTTTTCATCAATATGAAGTAAACGGCTTAATCATGGAATAAACTCGTGTTGATAAGTTTATTTATGTTCTATTACTTCGAAAGTGCTGAAGGTCCACTGATAATTATTTTCGAAATGGACGTTTTGAACTGTCTAGTAAAGATCCTAATCAAATGTTTATATATGTCCTTGTCTGCTTCGATTTGCCAAGGAGTTTCGAGTTTTTTTGGCTTCAGCTTTTGGAATATGCTGATATAATCATATTGGCCAAACAGGGACACCATTTTCACAAATAATTAAAGAGCACAGAAGTAGTTTTTTAAACAGAAAGACCAATTCCACATTTGCAAACTATCTTTTAGCTGAAGGACATGCGTTCAGTCAAGAATACGATGTGTTACATTTTGAAGAGAAGAGTTTGAAAGTCAATCTTCTAGAATGTTTAAAAATCAGTAGATTCAGGAATTCGGGTAATTTACTTAATGATCAATTAGAATTGAATAACTCCCCGTTACTAAATATTTTTTCAAATGTCGAAACTGGGACATAAGGTCAGGTAATTTAATTCATTACAAACTTGGGTACAAACCAGGTACTTGAAATGTAGGTGCTTCAAATTGTAAAAAAAATGGTATATTAAGCATTGAATATGTAAAATATAGTTAGTAGGTAAAGACACGCGTATTTGTAAAAATTTTTAGTGAAAATCTCACAATAAAGTGGTTTTTTAATACGATAATCATATTCTTTTCTTAAGTTGACTAACTATTGATTGGCTGATAGACTGGCTCTACCTCCACACCCAATAATTGTTTTTGTTTTATTTTATATTAACTTAATTTGACTCAATTCGACTCAATATTTCTTGTCGAATGAATTGTTTATTTTTTTCATATTACAAATATAACGTTCATAGAATTCAGGGTAGATGATAAGGGAAGCAAGTTCTTTGTATTGTTTGTTATAAATGTATCAAACTTTAACCAAAAATAATTTGCCAATTAAAAAAATCAGATCGATATTTTTCACTATATTTAATATCAATAGTGCTTCCAGATGTGATTTAATATGGACCATATTTCACTGAATACTGGAAAACGTTATTAAACAAGAGGTTTTGAAATTTATACTTCTCCATCTTGATACAAAAAATATTTCATACTGTTTTTTAGGTATTCAAACTTCCACAGTCTGAAAAATAAACAAAGCTTAATAAACAGAAAATCTGTCGAATAGTAATGAAGGGAATCTTAAGAATTCACCCCGTACTACGTAAAAACAATAGGTATTAATTTCCGAAACGTTTACTATATGAGTAAATAGTGTATAAATTCAAATTTTTTTCCGTGGAAATTTTAATTTGTAGATACAATTTTTGAATACAAGTTACTGACTACTTGTACTCTTCAGTATTTTATATTACGCAGTAAATATTCGGAGTGTACTTCTTAGGTTGCCTTTCATCACACTTTAGCAGATTCTCTGGTGATTTAGCATTGCAGTAGAAGTCAGAGGATGAATTCCGTTCTGCAGTCGATGTCGAAGTTTGGCTTTGCAACCTTTAGATGGCTACCACATTTAGATGATAGCGTTGCTTATTTTTGAAATTTTATAAGATTGAATACTCAAAAAATAGCAAGAAACATTGACCCCTTCTCAAAAATTGTTTTCATAGAATATACAGGGTGTTTTTCAAACATGCGGAAAAAATTCAAGGGACTATTCCTTGGACTATTCTAAGGATATTTTGTCCTTTGATGATTTTTGATAGGGCGCTTCGTTTCGAAGATACGGAGCGAAAAAGAATTTCGACAATAACAATTTATTACCAAAAATTACATGTAATTTTTCTTGATCTAGAAGAACTATTGAAAATGACTACCCCTCGCTCAGATGCAAGAATACAATCTTCTCCTCATCGACTGCCGAAATCTTTGCGTTATCCCCAGCAAATTGAATGTCTGCAGCCGTTTGTAGTAATCGGAATGTTGTTGATGGGTACCAACGGAATTTGTTAAATTATTTATCACTTGCTAGGTTCAGCTATACTTGTATTTCGGCTATGTTGATATTACCAACATTCTTTGTCGCCCCCTATCTTCGAAACAAAGCGCCCTATCAAAAATCATCAAAGGACACAATATCCTTAGAATAATCCCTTGATTTTTTGCCCTGTATAAACGAACGAGTATTGATATAGTCGTACTTTCATCTTCAAAATTATTATGGTTTTCAACACAATAGTTTTCAATTCTTCATCTTATTTAACATTGTCGAAAACCCATCTGTCACAAAATAATGACTCTTCGAAAGTATTTATTATCATTTCACATAATATTGATGAAAAAGTTGTAAATCCGCATTGAAATCATCACAAACTATTGGAAGTCTCATTGGTAAATTCCCCCTGGGAAAAGACAAATTGAAAATTCAATGTAGATATCTTCTCTTATGAGTATGAAAAGGGCATATGTGTATCGTTTCGAAAAAAGAAAGGCATTCTTTTGTACTTTTTTAATCTGAAAACATTCTTGAAATATGTTATGAATATGTATTTTAAAGCGTGATGCAGTAAATGGTCACTATGTAAATTTGTAGCAATACCTCTAGTTCAAATTTTCTTCAAAACGATCAACCGATTAGATTCACAGTGTTCTCCAAAAAAAAGTAAATCTTGGGATTATCAAGAAGAATAAAGGTCCTTACGCTCTCGCCAACAGTAACGTGTACGTGAAAAAGCTAAAATTAAAATATAATAAAATAGGGCGGTAGTCGGTCGGGTTGACGGGGGTGCTTTGCTCCACTCACGCAATCGACCGCTGTGTGAATCGGTAGTTCAAGCCGCAGGCCGGACTATCGATTTTCATCTGCTATGGTCCAACCCGCGTTAGGAATCACACGTTATAAAGTAAGACCTCGTTAGTCAAGTTTCGACTTTCGAGAGTTGTCGTTCGTAGGGAGTGACAGCTGGTTAACGAAAAAACAGATTTTTCAAACAGATTTGAACAGAATAAATAATAAATGTAAAAATAGCGGTATTTTTTCAGAAATTGATTTTAAAAACAATCATCAAAGTAAACTATTTTGGATTACTATAATAATTGACATATAAATCGATAAAATAAAAAAAATTATTCTAAATCAGTATATTTGTCAGTACGAATATTTGTTGATTCAGCTGATGCACTTTAGATATCATTGAACAGATATTAACAGATCAGAATTCAATATATCTATCAGACACTAATGAAGAGGAGGTTTATTTACAAAGTTATTATGGAATTAAAACAGAAGAAATCTCCAGGTCATGATGGAATTCGCTCAGAAACGCTCAAATTGTTTGTCAATTAAATTAAAACGCCATTAACTCATCTAATCAACAAATGTTTACAGAAAGGCTGTTTTCCCAAAATATTCAAAATTGGAATAATAAAACCACTTTTTGAAAGTGGAGACAAAACAATGGTGAGTAACTATAGACCTGAATCACTGATCTCAAACATAGCCAAAGTAATAGAGAAAATTCTAAAAATAAGATTTTACTAGGAAATTCAAATTGATAACTGATCAGCAATACGGATTCAGGGAGGGAAGATCAACGGAAGATGCAATACAAAATCTAACTACTTGTATTTACGAAGCTCTTGACAAAAAAATTCCAGCAATGTGCATTTTCGTTGATTTATCCAAAGCTTTTGATACCGTCAGTCATACAAAACTCCTGAGAAAATTAGAGAACTGCGGAATACGTGGGAAAGCTTACGACATTTTCGAAAGCTATCTATGTGACCGAGAACAGAGAGTTAGTATCGATGAAATTATGAGTTATCCCAAAATTGTTACTTATGGTATTCCGCAAGGAACGGTTCTAGGACCAATCCTGTTTACAATATATTTGAATGAACTATTGCAGATACCAATGAAAGGTAAAACTTTGAGCTTTGCTGACGATACGGCTGTCTTTTATACATTCAACGTTTGAAAACGTTGTACTTCGCACTTGTCCAATCCCAACTATCCTATGGTATAATAGGTTGGGGAGAAGTGAATGATTGTTATCTTAGGAATCTAAATGTCATACAAAAATGGATACTGAAGATTATATTTAATAGGAAAAAACTCATCCAACTGCTGCCTTATTTAAAGAAGCAAATGTATGTGATATTCGACAACTTTTTCACTGGCTTATACCAAATATTACCAGAAAAAATCAAAAATATCAACAGTTCCCACATGTTTAAGAGAGAAGTGAAGAAATTCATTCTGAATACCGAAAGAGCTTTCTTTTCTGATTTTATTAATCAAACTATTTCAAACAGCAATTTAACTTAAGCATTTGTTGAGCAAACGAAAATAACTATGTATTCTGTCTGAAACTACTGTCTCTCTGTTAATAAGGTTATTGATTAATTCATCATTCATTATCTTTCAATGTTAGATCAAGTATTTATACAGTTAATCACAATGTATCCTTATCACGAACAAGCTATAGATTTCTATGGCTTCTGTGATTATCTTGTTTATTTTCGATAGCACTCTATGTAATGTATATCAGTGTATGCGATAATAAACATATTAATATTATTATTATTATCAAAAATAATTTCACATAAAATACACAATGTGCTGTAAGTGAACAGAAATACACAGTTGCGGAAGATCGGGAAAATGAAAACTTGAGAGAGAACTGAGAAAGAGCATAATGAGCCACGCAATAATAGAAGGAGTAAGAAATGTTGAACACAAATGTCATTTGTAAAGCAAAACATGTTTTTCATGAACCTTTTCGAGAGTTTTCACCTACCGCGAACTGAACAAATCATAGTTGTGATTGTATTCAGCAGTAACTTATCGGGGTGAACTAGAAGTTGGCCCTTTTTACACCTGGTACAAATTAAATACCGGCCCCTCTGTTTTTTTTTGTCTAGAGAGTAAGTATGAGTTATTGGTGAAAGAATTATTGATGAGTGACTACGTGTGTTCTACCACATGCCTTCAATCAGTATTACTGATACAAAAACGTGCAATACGATGCATTTGTGAAGTCAAGCGTAGGGACTCTTGTCGGCCTCTTTTCGCCTCTAACAGAATCCTAACTGTAGTCTTTTTAAGATAGTTGTTGGTTCACAGATGGATCAAAAACACCTTCCGGTTCTGGTGCAAGTGTTTTTAGTCGCAGACCCAGGATAGAGGTATCTTCCTGCCTAGGAACGTATGCGACTGTATTTCAAGCGATCATTTACGCTATTGAATTGTGTGCGAAGAGATTGGATAAATCCAACCTCAAGCGGCGTTGGTAGCTCTTGGCTCCTACCGAGCAACGTCTAAATTGGTAGCAAATTGCCAAAAACGACTCTCCTCGATAGGAAGACTTAACAGATTGTCTCTGGTCTGGATTCCTGGCCATACTGGCCTGGAAGGCAAGGAAGCTGCTGACTCCCTTGCAGAGGAGGGTGCTGCAAGCAGCTTCATCGGACCAGAACCTGTCATTGACATCGCTTTAGGCTTCGACAAACAAACTTTGAACACCTGGATGGCAAGAAGATTTATAGACTTCTGGTATTATCTTCCAGAAATGGCTCACTCCAATCCTCTCCACTCCTTCGAAGCTTGATACCAAACAGATTTTGTACTACAGTAGGGATGAACTACGATGTCTAACAGGCCTTCTTACAGGTCAATGTCATTTGAATCATCATATGCAGAGACTTGAACTGTCGGAAAACAGTGTGCGCCGCCTCTGTTTGGAGAATAATTAAACAGCAGAGCATATACTTTGTGCCTGCTCCGCTGGAGACTGAATCAGGTTCTTAGAGTTCGGCATTGCCGTACTCTTACCATCTGACCTGAAAGACCACTCACCATACAAACTAATCGGCTTCGTTAAGAATCAGGGTTTATTTGGTCGAGTGTGAATAGGTGTGAGCCACAATAAACCCTTGCGAGTTGCGGTGGAGGGTCGAATAGACCCACTCACTTTTGACCTAACCTAACCTAGTCTCCTTATTTATATATGAAACGATTTGCCTTCTCTTTGAAAATAGGAACTTGTTTAATAACTTGGACGAGCGAATGTAACAAACCAGGCAAAGATTCAGCTTCAAATTACCGCTGCCTTCTTCGACCCTAGTTAAAGTTTGCATCATTTACAACGGTCTCTACGATGATAATTTTAATTGGGTATGACTAACTGTAGTATCTACGATATTTTATTGATTTGATTTGTTTTCATTTGATTTAATTTAAATTGATTAATTTCCTTTTATTGACCACGATCTTATATCCTGAATGTTTCTATAAGGTTATTGTTGTTTACATGTCCCTCTCCAATTCATGTTATTACTTAATTTTTGTGACTTCACTTTTGTGATTTCATTTATATGTTATTCATATTTTCTGTCAATGATAATTTATTTTTCGGGCAATAAAGTATATTTTGAATTGAATTCATATAATACTAACCATCATGGACAAAAATTCATTCATTTTCCAAAAGTTCACAAAAGTTTTCTTCATTTTCTCATTACTTTTTCAGGTTACTGGCTATTCCATTGCCACTTTCTGTTCCACATTGCCATAGGAATGAACCTCATAGTCCACGTAGGGACCCAATCAGATTTGCCACCAGTACCTCATGGATTTCCAAAGTGTGGAGATCATTTACCTCCCATCTCGTTATTCCATTAATAGTGAAATTGTTTAGTTTAAGGATTACTTGACTGTGTGAAAGTGAAACTAGTGAGATTTGAATTTACCGAATAAGTATTACCTGGATGTTATTACACAAACCACTGTTAATGAGTCGCTTGTGGTATAATGAACATAAGGCTCAAGTGGAGGATATTCAGTTTATTAGTAAAGTAACATATACTCCCTGACTTGTTGACTATGAATCATAAAGGCTCAAAAACCTATATTTTTCCCTTTAAAATACAATCCTCTTTTGAAAATGAAATGAAAACCCTCATGTGATTGCTTATTTGACATGATTTATAATACTTTCTCATGACCAAATTTACTTCATCAATGTTCTTCTCAGGTTGTTTTATACACTTGATATTTCAAGAGCTGTAATTAGCGAAACTTCGAATATCAAATAATATTCATTCTTCTTCATATTTGATACATTTAAATTACCCTTTTGGGTTCCAACTTTCTGAGCACGCATAAACTACAGTCGCCCCAAATACAATAATGCAAAATTACCACATTGTGGTAATGTGACACGCAATGTGTCAAATTTGTAAATGCATAAAATGGCCACATTCATTTTTTTGCATATCTTTCCTTTTCTTTCTCGAGATCTCGCTTTTTTACGAGATCTCGCTTTTTGTTCGGGATCTCGCGTTTTATTTCGACTTTTGTCTTGAGGTTGAACAATTGCGGAGTAAGTCTTTTGGGTGATTTGAAAATAATTTTGTTTCGACATTGCTGGATGTGGAAATAATCGATTTGTCTAGTGAAAATCACGTGAAAAATGTCGTTATATCGAAAAAAAGTCGAGATATGAGAAAAAAGTCTAGATCTCTAGAAAAAAGTCGAGATCTCTCGAAAAAAGTCGAGATCTTGAATAAAAAGTCGAGATCTCGTGAAAAATATGATATCGGGAAAAACCGCTAGATCTCGAAAAAAAGTTAAAATTTCAAGAAAAAAGTTGAGATTTCGAGAAAAAAAGCGAGATCGCGTTAAAAAAGGCAAGATCTCGACAGAAAAGGCGAAAATTGAAAAAAAAAGGTGAGATTTCAAATAAAACTTGAATGTGGCACTACTACGTCTTCGTACAAAATTATATTTTACTTGCGACGTTACCATTAAAGTTTCAGATCGCGGATTACCGCCCTGCCTATCAAGAAAATCGTATTTACATTTTGACAAAAGTCATCTTAAACATGTTTGAGTATTTTTTCCACCATTTCACAACTTCGTTCTGGAAATAAAACTCGTACGACCATATTCGATCGAGATATCGCTCAACTGTCACTTTGTGAGAAAAGCATTCCTTTTCATAAATACAACCGTGTTCAAAATCCTGAAAAATGTACGACCTTCTTCATTAGTAGGGCAGTTTAGGCTGTTCGATTACTGTCAATTGCATTGACAAACCGGCTTTTCACCGCAAAGGTGTGATACTTGAATTCATAAAGTGTGCATGAAATTACAAATAACATCTCACTGCTAAAACTGACACTACACCATGGATGTTTAGTTTCTACTTCCATGCACTGCACTGACAAATAAATCTGAATCGTGTTTTTGAAAAGTGTCATCTCACTTTGTCTCTCGTACAAGCATGCTTCAGTTTTGCATCACCGTGTGTATGGGTCGACATATGTGACAAGGATTCAATATATGTGTGGATGCACCATAAAGAATAAGTTCCTCTCTCGCACATAAGCTATAACTGAAAATGCTTCATACTATAATTCCAAAATAGTAGGCACTGAATTATCAGAATTAACAGACGTCTTGGCCTTAATCTGTCTCTTGCAGTGGCGTACGGAAATTATACTAAACAGATGAGAAAAAATTATGATAAAATATATAGAATCATAACCTTGACAAAAATGTTTTCGTTTTAATGCAATGATTTTTCTGAGAATTCAGTGCCTACTATTATGGATATTACTATAATACTTCATTTATGGTGCAATGCAATTGAAAAAAGAGAAATAGAAGGCAATATCTACAAATAATTTTATACATCAATATGTAGCAAGTTGGATAGGAGACTGAATATTGATTGTCGATATAACATCAATTTACTGAAGCCCCAAAATTTACAAAATCTTTCAAATATCATTTCGCTCAATCTTTCTTGCCAACTGAAGGGTAAGGTACATTTTCAATATCCTTTCCAAAAACTAATCGACCAAATTAGATTATAAAAGTATGAATAATGTGAAATGGATTTTTTTGTATCAAAAATAAGAAAATAAGATATCCGTTATCGTTCGATCCATTCTTGGAGAGTATATAGTACTTTCTTGTAAGAATTAAAAAAATGTCAAATGATTTTGTTTTCTTCGAGATAATTTCTCATTTCTAAAAAAAACCCTAATGATATATCTTCATAATTATTAAAGTAATCACCTTCGAGAGTATTTTCATTATCATCATATAGAGGAGTAATTCTTTCATAAAATTGTCATTTAGTTGAAAAAATGAACAGTATGAAATATGAAAAATGTATTCAAAAATAATTTTTTGAATTCACTAATTTTTTTTCAAAGTATCATTGAAATATATTCCTTCATACTAGTCTTGAATGAAACAAAATGTAAATCATGTGAAAAATTCAAATATATTTCAATAAAAATAACTGAAATGAAAAAATTGTTTCACTCAAAATTGAATTTTAGTAAAAACGCAATAAATAACGTTTCTTTTCACACAAAAATGACAATTAGTAGACTTCAGCAGAAAGCATATTGCCAAATACAATTAATTCTGTTTCAATAAGATCAGGGAATAAAAAATGATAAACAACGTCAAAAGTAGTTGTAGCGATAGTTAGATAACGGGATGGCGTGCTTTTACTATGGGGACCTGGAGCCATATTCTGGAATTACTTGCACTTTTGCGAATCGTATGTACGTCGGGCAATCCGAATTCCAAAATCTGCAAGTCGCACTATACTGTTATTCTGTTACATATAGTCTTTTAATATTTGGTCACAATAATTCGTTATTGATAAAAACCAGATTCAGACACCTATATTGAATCCGTATTTCTTTCAATCCGATGTGGGACGACTTCGGAAGAAAAACAAACACTTAAGTTTTAAAGTAGGTGCCTTCATTGGAAAGGGTAGTCCGATACGACAATAAACGATCGCTACCGATTACTGACAAGTAGTCAAATCAAAAGTGTTTGTTTTTAGTCCGATCTTTCATTCCGACGGAGTGTATAATAATGAATAATAAAATTGATAAAGACTTTTTGATATTTCTTGTGAGAGATGAGCCTCGCTTGTGGAACCAGCGAAACAAGGATTGCCATAATTGTGATATTAAGCCTAAAGTATGGAACGTTATTGGGGACCAATCGATGGTAAAAGGGCTGATGCATGCTCTAAAGTTAGACTGGCCAGTTATGTCATTTTTTATACTTTCAAGAATATAGTTAAACATTCCATAGTCATACGATGGTAGTCCTTAAATTTATCCGGGTAGTTTCTTAAAAGTAGGGAAGTTTTGAAAAATTCCCCTTCAGATTTATCTTCATTAAACTGATGCACCCATATCTTTTGCCTACGTCTCCTATTAAGGAGAACATTCTGTTCTTGTATAAGCCACCACAAAAAATCATCTTCGGGATCACTCATAATTACTCCCAAAACATAGCTTTAACTGTTAACCTATCGGGTCGAACTAAGTCCAGTGTAAGCAGTTACAACGGACGGCATCCGATCGTGGGGCGTCCGATGGTCGTCCCACATCGGGTCGGGAGAAATACGGATTCAATATAGGTGCAGCCTAAGACGAACTTTCGGGCAAGACGTTTAAAACCGCATGTTTCAAATCGACAGATATATATCTAACTCAGCCATACTCTGAGTGTGTTCCGCGGAACCGTATAATTCCGCGATACTTATGTAGGGATTCTGCAATGAATTAGAAACAGATTGAAAAAACACTTCTCTCTAGTCGTACGTTTTGACGCGGCACATTACGATTCATGAGGCAAAGCCAAACTCAGTCGCCTCCCACCACAGTATACTTTGTTCGTTCATACTTTGTTAAGCCGACACAAACGGGCCGCCGTTCGAGACAAAGCTACCGCTGCCTTGCCGGAAGGCGGCGTTCGGCTACTCCAAGGAATCCGATGCCAGCCATTTGGGTGAACGTGGAATTTTACTAAAGACGCCATCGTTGATATCAACTTGTGAGCGCGCAGTCCCTTTAATAAAATCCGTCTCTGATATTTTTGAGAATATTCGATATCGAAGCTAGGACCATAGTAAAAATCAACCAGTACGTCCACTCCCTCTACTTTCATTCATAAATTCACAAATTTAAGGATATTATAGAAGATTTTGTGGTAAGCTACTTATAATCAGCTACAGAAACGTAAAACAATAATAACAACAGCGAATAAATAAACACAATATCAATTTCCGACTGTTTATTATAACTAATCCGATGCCCGTGGTAGCGTCGAATCCTTCGATACTACTGCACTGAACGCGTTGGATGAGAATCTCATCCTATGAGCGGTAATAGGTCCCCGGCAACTCGGGCGGATCACTTGGTAAGAGAGCATACTGTTTGTATCATTCTACTGTGCTAGGACCACAGTATGCTTATATACAGTAGTCCCACTTAGCGTCGGTCCCTTTGATGTTGGTTGGTTTTTATTTGACACTAATGACATTTCTCTCTGCTACAATCTCAACCAAAGCGTCTAAACACTGCTCAACATAACAACTATTCATATAAACTGCTCAAAAAAATACAGTCGATGAAAACCATGTTGGGCATCTTAGAAAATTGTACAAATGATAATTTTGCATTTCTGTAATATTCAAGTAACCCAGATCATTTGGACAATGATGAACTATGTTTCAAGTAGATTTTAAAAATTCAAAGTAAAAATTGACAATAAAATCACTGACAAGCCTAAATGCATTATGACTATACCTTTATATATGTTTTCTGACAGAAAACAACTACTTCTTCACCTAATAACTCGACATATTGTAACGAATTCATGAATTACCTGTCTTAATCAAATTTATTTTTAACAATATTTCACTATCACAACTAATTTATATACAACACTTAGTAACTAACGCTTAATTTATCTCCACAGTTAGATTCCTTTCTTTAATTGCACGATTCACTTTCTAAGTACAGACTACTCCTCGGGACGGAGAGCG